GGCCTGCGGGAGGCGGTCTCCAGCAGACCAGGGGCACCGGAGCAGCTTTCGCCCCGACTTCCGGGGCTAGACCCGGCCAGACCCGGCCAGCGGCAGAGACGCGCTGAGCCCGCCCGCCTCAGTTCTCAAGACGCTGACTCGAGTATAAGCCGAGGGGGGCATTTTTCAGCACAAAAAATGTGCTGAAAAACTCGGCTTATACTCGAGTATATACGGTAAATTCACTTTTTCCACACCAGTCATGATTTTATAGATCTCTATCATATCCCCCTTTAGTCTCCTTTTTCTAAGATGAAAAGTCCAAGTATTTTAATCTCTCTTCAGATGGGACCCATTCCAAATCCCTAATCATTTTTGTTGCCCTTTTCTGAACCTTTTCCAATGCCAATATATCTTTCTGAGATGAGGCAACCACGTCTGTACACAGTATTCAAGATGTGGGTGTACCATGGTTTAATAAGTACAATATGGCAGGCCTAGAAAGTATTTGAAGAGCAACTGGCTAAAGACACAAAATTTACCAGCATATTTTTTTCAGTACATCAGAAGAAAGAAGTCAGCCAAACAGTAAATGGGGCCACTAGAGCAGTGGTTCTTAACCAGGGCTAAGGGTACTTCTCTTGATACAGAGAGATCTTTCAGGAGGCTTGTGAACTCATCTGGATGAGCAATTGTCAACCTGGGGGGAGATCATGATCCCCAGAGGGATCAGGGGATGGGTTAAGGGCGGGGTTGCAAGTGCAGGGCTGGCATTAGGAGGTGACAAGTAGGGAAACTGCCTGGAGCACAGCACCACAAGGGGCCCACAAAGCTAAATTTCCATGTGGTGGGGCTCAGGCTTCAGATTCCTGAAAGGGGTACAGCATTCTGGGAAGGTTTGGAACCACTATACTGGAGAAATGAGGTGCTAAAGGAGCACTCAGGCCATAATGGAAAATCTAAATGAATTCTTTGAATCAGTCTTCAGGGCAGAGTCTATGCAGGAGTTCTCTTTACCTGAACCATTCTTTTTAGGCAACAAATCTGAGGAACTGTCCCAAACTGAAGTGCCAATAAAGAGGTTTTGAAATAGATATATTAAACAGTAATAAGTAGGGATGGGAAAAGTGTAACCACGTATATGGTTAACCAATGAGCCTGGGCTCATCAGTTAATGTTCAGGGTCAGAGACAGCTCCTGACATGCGTGGGGAGCTGGTGGTGGTTGCCTGTGCGCATTGGCTCCCAGGAATCTGCCCCCCTCCCCTATGCTCTGGAGTGTCGAGGACACCAGAGTTAGATTCTATGATCGATGTCAAAAAGGGTTTTGGCGTTTGTTTGTTTTTGGTAAATGTGTAACCACTGAAATTTTCAACAGTTACACAGTTAAACACATTTTAACATTTTTAATAAGTTACCAGGGATGGTACTTGGTCCTGATGTGAAGGCAGGGGACTGGACTCGATGACCTTTCAAAGTCCCTTCCAGTTCTAGGAGATAGGCAATTTCCATTCATAT